TCTCCTTTGGAGTTGCCGGCTGTAAAATTGACACTTAAAATCACATTGTGAAGATAACCCATCTTTTTCAGTCTTCAATAAAAGTGCGATATCTAGCATTTTTCGTTCAGCTAATGTGCCAATGCCTCATATAACAGTGTAGTTTTTGTTATGAACTTCGTTTTAATCAGCTTAAGCTGTCCACATATGTCTTCTATAAACACGCCACTGTAGCTCATTCCAACTTACCGGATGAAAAAAACAAAAAACAAATGAAATTTCCAGTGACAATTATGATCTCATATGCTACGTATACTCACTGAATGAACAAAAAAAAACTAGATATTGCACAAATTCACAGACATATCCTATCCTCATACCGATTTTTAAAAAAGTTTAAAAGGAAGACATTATTTAATAAAAGTGCTCCTTTCGTGATAAGCTATAGTATTATGTTATTGGTTAAAAAAATCCTGTTGTTTAAAAAACTTTGATTACACCGTTAGATGATAGTGGTTAACACTGAAATATAAGACTCCCATTTTATCTTATTAGGAAATTATCATTTGAATGTGCTTGTATCCCAGTGTTGATGTATACATTGGTACTTGACCCCTAGTTACTATCACTCTAAGCTTCAAAATACACTATCCACTAAGCCACTGAATCCCAAATACGATCGAACGTGGATTCTGGATCTCATTGCCAATCACTATTATAAACCTATAGTTACGATTACTATATCGAAGAGTTCGATAGTAGCCCATACTCCAATAAAGACCAACTCGAATTCAGTCTTCAATGCCAACAACTGGAAAACCCAAACCTTTACTGCTACTACTACTACTACTACTACTACTACTACTACTACTACTACTACTAATAATAATAATAATAATAATAATAATAATAATAATAATAGGAGAAAATACTGTCGAATAAGTTAGGTTGTTATTTATAGATAGAAGCATTTTGTTGTTTGTCTTATATAGGTCAATGAATAAATTTTGTTGATAGAACAACAACATCATGTAGATATACAAATTATTACTAAGGTATAATCCCGATATATATATATATATATATATATATATATATATATATATATATATATATATAACCTAGTAATCGTTGACACCGTGTTGAATGTTTGGCAGTCAGGAGGAGGTTACCAGGTTTGTCCTAAAAATTTACTACCACTAAATAGTTATAATACTAATCAAGCGAATGCAAACAAATGAACCTTTAGTCGTGTATACATAAAAAAATAATAATTTTGAGTTCATTTTCTTTCTCTCTGTTGTATGATTCTTTTTATTCCTCTTTCTTATTGGTTTTGTGTTTTAATTAATAATTGTGCTCAGCAGCGTTGATGACCATTGGTGTTTATTGTCGTATAAATTTATGCGTAAGCACACATACGTGCATGTGTGTGATATATTGTTGATTACTATAATAATAATTATTAAAGCTATTAGGCTTTTTTAAACCTATGGTTGAGTCTGTTTTCATCATATATATATTGGATATTTGATAGCAGCGATGTCTATTTGTTTAATCCGTTGGATATTGTTTCTATCCTTTGTATTCTAATTCACCATTTTTTGTGTTTCTGATGGATTACTTGGTGTGATTACTAACTGGACTTATATCTTTTTATTACCAGCTTCCCGGTACTACTACTATTACCACTGCTACCACCACTACCACGAATACTACAACAACAGAAACATTGAAGTCAATGAGTTTATCATCTTCATCAGCATCATTGTTATCATGTTCTACTGGGATGCGTTCTTCTAATCCAGATTTTGTTGATTTGTCAAATTCAGATCCGAAACGTTTACGTTTATGCTTTACAGACATAAATAGTACTATTTTCGCGACTGCTGCTAATTCCACCACCACCACCACTACTACTATTACTCCTACTACTGCACATGTTGACATCAGTGTATGTAATGAAACAAGGGAGCTGAATAATTATCAACAATTTCCGTCTTATCTGTTAAATGATTCTTATGATCAATGTTCACACTATCAAGTTAATAATAACAATAATAATAGTCGAATCCAATCACATGTTAAAATCTCTTCTCCATTAATATCGATTCCATCATTAACAAAAGGTGTATCTTCAACATCATCTACAAGTGTTTGGTATCCATCATGCCTTGGAATTGTAAATTCTTCTGAACCATCTTTTGTCCCAACATCATCGGAACTACATGACTCGTCCGTAATGAATGAATGTTCTAGTTATCTTCAAATTATGGACGCAAATTATCATCCGTTATTAAAAGATACTCCCCGATCGACGTCAGTTTATTTAAATTCTAATCTTCCTACTTCGTCCTCATCGGTTATGCATCCTTCAAATCTTGTACTACAAAATGTCCATAATAGTCCTAGTCATGGTGATAGTTCTTGCAATAGCAACACATCTATTGTTTCTACTCCTGGTTCTGCAACTGTAAATACTACTTCTCCTGTCATTAACAACAACAGTGATAGTGCTTCACAATTGTCGTTACATACCGATAATCCTAGTCAATCTATTCCACCGTTTTGTCATAATTCTCAACAAAATTCTAAATTACATTTAGTTTATAATCAACCACATTCTAGTTTTTGTAGTCCAGTTGTTTGTAGTTTATCTGAATCATCTAGCTTGAATTTATGTGGAAATATGCTCAATACTACTACTAAATCTACAAGTAACCCTAGTAATTCATGTTTACCTTTTAATTTCGATAAAAACAATTCATCTTTTCTCAATGATAATGGTATTAATAATCATTTGTATTCACTAACCTCTTCTATCCATGATAGCCAGTATCATCAAAACATACGACAACAAATAAAAGCTCCACTTATTGTGCCTCCTTCACTTCTTCCTTCTCTCCCTTCTCTTCCTAACCATCCTTATCCCCAATTGACCAATGAGCATTTGATGAATGCTACCACATCACATACACAAATGATGATGAATTCCACCTCAATCAATCAATCAAATTCCACAGATTTTATCGAGACTGAATCAATAAAAACAGAGCGTGGTGAATCAGAAGGTAGAGGATCAAGTGAATCTGAAGTATCTGGTGATTATGGTGGTGTCAGAACTGGTGATAATTTAAGAAGTGCTAACAATCACAACAGTAATAATAATACCTATTCTACTGCTAGCAATACGAACAATGGAAGCTTTAGATTGATCAATAATGAATTATTAACAAATAAAAAATATGATTGTAACATTGATGAGATTCCAGATGATGATTATCTGACAGGTGATGATACTGATGGGGACGATTGTACAGATAGTACTCTTGATGATGAAGAAGATACTGATTACGATGAGGTGGACGAGTATGATGATGATGATGATGATACGGAAAATGATATTGATGATCCTGATAGGGATTTTGATGATGAAGAAGATAGAGAAGATGATGAACTCAGTGATGGTGGTTGTGGTGTTACTAGTATAGGAGGAGCATGTGGAAGAGATATCCTTGAGATGTCTGAAGGTACTGGTCATTCTAGTTTTACTTGTTCCACGTCATCTTACCATAAATCAGAATATGAAAGTGAATCAAATCATACTGGTGCTACTACTTCTCATCTTAATACTACTATTTCTTCTTCTACTACCACTAATACTACTGATAATAATGCAAATAAAGTTACTAACTATGGTAACAATAATGAGATTTTATTTAAAAATAATTCTACTACCCATGCAAATGACTTTAGATTCGGACAGATATTTACAACATCGATAGAACATGATTACAAAGTTGTGGAAGTTGTTCAAAAATTTATCCCTGTAAGTTTCAGTTTCGATTATTATTATTATTATTATTATTATTATTATTATTATTATTATTATTATTATTATTATTATTATTATTATTATTATTATTACTAAACATCATTTCGTGATTTCGATGGTTTCAAGTAGTATTAATGTTCGGTGATTGAAGGGAACTACTCGTAAACTAGTCGCCAAGACTTGTCTGCACTTTCGAGGGGATTGATACTTCCACTGAGATTCAAACTCATATCACAACAGTATTTGTATCACTATTCCATTCATCTATTGGGAAAATAGTCCAGTGAACTGGTCATATCTCTTCATATTTATATGTCCAACCCCATTGAATTCAGTCTGCTTAAATATAATTGTCTTAATTTTTATTGGATTGCTTTAGGCTCTAGGTCTTAGCAAATGATTTGTATTTATTAAAAGTACGAATAGTCAGTTACTCATGATTTTTTTACTGGACAAATTCTTTTTAGAACTGTGTGGTTTTTTTGTATCATTAAGGTCTATTAAGTGTTCAGTGATTTTTTACAAGTATTCCTAGAATTTACTGAAATTGTTGACTAGATAATGCCAGTCTCATGCACATAGTTTCTTACAAGATAGAACATTCGATCAAGGAGTATAGTTTAGTACACGAACGTTTTACGATCACATGTTGTAATCTGTGCTGATTAGACACACGAAATCCTTTTGTAAAAAGATGGTACAATCGTCCATCACAACTCCTGAGCTAAAGTGTATTTGTCACCTCCCAATTGCTAATGATTTCTCCAGAACTTCTTTGAACCTAATTTAACACTGAGAAGACTAGATGATTTGATTTTCTTGCCGTTTTCACTCACCTAAGAAGTTTTGTTAGTGTTAACTCCTGATCAAAATAATCTCCGATTATTCTAAGTGACCCCATTTCTTCGTATAGAAACGTCACATGTACTGTGAATTACACGTTCAAAGACTTATTACATAAGGTACTAAAAGTCAACATACTAAAATTCACAAATAAATCCAAATGACGAGTTCGAAATAACAAAAATACACCTGTTTTTCATTCCCAACTACTACTCAAAATGGATTTGTTCAATTTTCTCTTCCGAATTGCAAAGATTTCCATAACGTAATAAACTATTTAAAAGTGTATTACAATTCTTGTATCAATCAAATGTTTAGATATATTTTCTTTTCCTTTATGTAGAAATTAAAATGCAGTCTCTTTGAATTATGCTCATTTTTAAAATCCGAAAATCTCGAACTGACGAATAGCAGTACTACCACAATACTATCATCCTCTTCCTCTACGTCATTATCACGAAACGAAATAATCAGTGAACGCATCAATAAGGATCCTGTGTTAATGTTTAGAGAATCGTCTGTAGGAAATTTTTCAAATCCCATCTTGCCATTGTCACCATCATCACTTGTACATGAATCACAGCTGCATAATAATGATATTGATTCTCAGGTAAAATCAGTTAGTCATTTTGACTCGGCTGAATCCAGTGTGCCAATCTTTAAAAATAATAAAGCAAATTGTTTTCCAACACTTGGTACTTCTTCTCCTTCAACTGCTCAAATAAATGAAAATAGTACTACAATTATTAATCCCTATTTAGACGATTTATTGTCTTCCTTATGTTCATTATTAGAAACGTGTTTATTTTATTTGGTGGATTGGATGGCTCAAATTGAATCGTTTAAAGTATTACCGGTGAGTTGTGTTCATGTTATTGTTTTTGTTTTTTGTTGGTTTTTTCCATCCTATTACTATTACTTGTTTTTTGTTTTCCATATTGTTACCAACTAATATTTTTTACACCTAACATCACGAAATGGTCTTAGTTAAGTAATCATTGAGAACCAAGAAGCATCAGATAGCTGTTTCGTCCTAGCTTGAGACTTTTTAGCAGTACGCATACACAACCCCGTCACTAGGAACCGAACCAAGGATCTTTGGTCGCCAGACCACTGAGCTCCGAATTCGATGGGTTGCATTCCTAACTTCAATCAATTTGTAATACTACGTGCAACCATCTTCCAATATACCTGGTGGGTAACTGTCTATTATATAAATCGAATTTTTTATTAGAAAAAGGTTGAGTGGGTATCACTGGTTAAGGAAATAACTTGTTTTAAAACTAAAATAAGGATAATAAAATGTAAATAATATTATCATAGTTATTTATAACCAATCTAGGACTTGGCATATATGTTCGCACTACATATTGATCAATCTGCCATACCCTGTCCGCACGATGTAATGAAATTAACAAGATGAATAACGAATTGGTTGCAATACTAATAGTGTTTTTGTTCGTTAGAAAAAGCCTAAATATGTAGTTTGAAGTTAGTTATTTAACGACGAGGATTGATAAGACTAAATAATATCGCAACTCAAGGTTTTGACACCAATGAAGAATGAACACATCTGCGCCACTGTAACTTATGTTTAGCTATGCCATCTGAGGTCTATGGCAATCGTTCACGATTATCATATGAATCTCAACCAGGAAGTCTACTTTTATCACGATTAATCAGTCTAACGGCCTCTGCTTTCTTGGACACGTACTAAGTTTTGGAATAACTACTCCCAATTTTCAACATGCTCCAGCCCACATTGTACATCAAAGTAGACAGTTGTTGCGGTCACGCGTAATGCATATCCCAGCCATTATGGTCAATGAAATACATAGCCTTATTAATTATCTGTCATCATTATATTGTACCTTTACATTTAATCGCCAGCATTGCTCACTAACGTGATACATTCAATAAAATTTTTATCATAGAAAAAGCAATACTTATTCGCATTTGTATTCTTGCATGGAATTTTCTCAATCTTCATTTAACAAATGTACGTATATATTAATTTTCACTATGGCTTTTTTCTACCTTACATTTGTGTGTTGAGAGAAATATCTATTGATAAAATATTATTACTATCATTAGCTTATTGAACTGTTTCATTCATGTACCTTCTTTCTTTTAGATAATTCTGTTTTTTATCATTATCTCGTACAATTACAAATTCATTTTCTCACCATCACCTCCCACCACTTATACCACTGTAACAATAATTATTGTTCCTATTGTTGTTTTAGTTGTCATTTTGTCATGACTACTTCAGTGCTTCTTATTTTGCATAATAAAAAGTAGCTCTCCTCCACAATTTGTTTATTTATCTCTTCCTCTGTTTAGAAAAGAACAAAATAACGCAACAATAACATAAACGACTTGCTTTTCAAACACTGTGGGTAATGTATTGTTATGTATGTTATGATAATAACTATTATTTTTGTTATTATCTGACAACAGTAATGGACAACCCAATCAATAACGTATTGTTATTATGCAATTATGCGATTTTTTCCATATCGGGAAATTTTTCCCACTTTAAAAAGGTGTATATGTGTGGTGATAAATCCAGTGGGATAAAACAAAAATAAAGAAATGGAAATAATGGTTAATAATAATAGTGATAATAATAAAGGATTAAATGCAGAAAAAGTTATTAAATAGGCATAAAGAATGAAGTACAATCTAGAAGAAAATACATTGATTCATTACTTGTAAATGAATATTAATCTTCAAGCCTATATCCTTATGTTTTCTGTGTGCTGCATGAGGTTTGATTATATGAAAATCACATTGTTATTCTGGCTAACCTCATCAACTTCCCCACTTCAAATAGAGAAAAAACAGTGAAATTCACACCATCAAATCATCTAGCTTAGAAAAAGCAACACTGCCTATCATTTGAATTCCAAATCTGCTCTGTCCTTTCAGTATATTTACTCCATTTTCGTAACTATCTACCAATTACAATTATCCGCATATTGGCAACAGGGAGTGGTGGTGGTTACAATATAAGTAACGTAGATGCTAGCATTAATTGGTTTTCAAATAAAGCTCATTAGTATAATTATTTGAGATACAACAAACTTAAGAGTATAAATTGTCTAACATTTCTTATTGATAAATGTGATAAATGCACAATGCATTGCTAATTTTTCCCAATGCAATATATTCCCAACGCATATATATCTGGTGCCCCCTTGTACCAATATTTATGTGTTCAAATAAATAAATAAATAATGCATTTATTGAGAGGAGAGAACTTAATTCAGCAAATTATTCAGTCCCTTACTTCACTTTATACTTGCAGGTTATTATCTTTGTTTATTGCTAAACATTTTTTATGTGGTAATAGCATCTTACATATTGTTATATTTGATCTTTTGCTTTAAGTAATATGGAAGTGACTTTTTTGTTATTGTTTCATCTTCAAGTTTCTTTGTTTATTTCACACTTATTTAAAAATTTTCTTTTTTTACTTATTGTCAAATACTTCAATGTTCAAGAAAAATATAAAATATACTTTGTCTAATTAGCCTTATTAAACGAAGTAATTGTAAAATCTACATTTATCAATCTTGACAATATCATCAGAATTGATTTTAGCAAGAATCGAACTTTAGACTGCAGTTCATGAGTAGCATCATCTAAAAGTTTACGTTGATTGAACTTGAACATAATTTGTTCTTAATAAACGACTTTTTTTCTACTCATGTCATATGAATAGGTTAAGTTGATAAGATGGTACTGATTTGTAAAATCGCATTATCTGGGCAAAGAACTCAATACATCTATCAGATGCACTGAAATGTCGGATTATATATGTAGCCCAACGTGAGATTTGACTAGTCTGTTCATTGTTTGGGGAAAAATAACTAATATTACATACTCTCATGGGTCACTAGGTTTTCTTGTGGTTTGTCAAAAGTTGTACTAGTTTTATGTGAATTGGTTAACTAGAAATATACCAGTAAGGCAGTAAATTGATGTCTAAATTCTATTTATTGTTACAAATACATTATCATAACTATCCTATGATCCTTTTGAAAACAGATAAGGACTTTAGTTGTTGTCCGTGTAAGTTTGGGTTTAGTTGTTTTTTTCTCAATCATGATGACGTGGGGTGTGGTGATTCGATCCTTCCTTTTCCATCATAATTGTACTGTGGAATGGCTAAGCACTATTTACATACTATCCAATCATCTGTTTGACAATATAAGTGATGAACTTCCTCAACTATTTCCATTCGCATAAATCATGTGTCATGATCATAAAACAGAACCACATGGACAGATTGGTTTTTGTATTTGTTGTTTGACTCTTCCCACTGATTTTTAGGACTGCATATGTGCATCCTATGCGGATTACCTCGAACAGATCTACTGTATATATAAGATAGAAGAAACTGATTGTTTTATAACCATAGTTCAACGTACATAATAATGAGTCAAATTTCTTTATTTTAACCTCTAATTATAAATTTTTTTCACCAACAATACTACCCAAAATAGGTCACTGTTTTTGGTCCCAGTAGGACTATTTTGAAAGTTAATCCTTATCACAAATTGACTGTAGCTTTAGAGCTACTGGGATTCACTCAATATCGGATTTCCCAGCAAAGTATTGAGTCGTGATCGTATGTGAATTTGAATTCGAAGAATTACAAGTGTCATAGTGAGCGCTCTACTTTCTAGCCCCATTATCAGTCTTTTTTGGTAATAGGCTAGTGGTTGTTAAAGCATTTAAATCAAACCATTAAGTTCATACGTGCGAATGCCAGTTCATCTCTTTTGGTTTGAGTAGTCCGAAGTATTAATAATTGCCATCTAGAAAGTATGTAATTCAAATCTGAGTGTTATCCACAAATCTTTACTTCATAATTAAGTGATTTATATAATTTTCTTTTTACTTCCGTACTTTTAGGTTGAAGATAAAATGCAATTGTTGAATAGTAGTTGGAGTGAAATTATCCTACTAGAGTTTATTCATTTTTATGTAACACAGTTAAATAATGCTAAACGAACAAATACAGTAAGTAATCTTGTTCTGTATTATTTCTCTCTACTTTCTCTTTAAATTTATTTATCTTTTTTGTAATCATGTTATCAAAAGACAGATTAATTTGTGCGGTTGTCTCTACTTTGACATAAACTCTCCCTTCTTTTAGATTAATGGGAATTCAATTGGTTTTGTTAAAGAAATACAAAATATAATTATTAGTTCCGTTTATGTTTTTCTTTGCATAGACATACTGATGATCGAAATGTGTTCTTTTAAACAAATGTTATATGCTGTTTATTGTATATATATATATATATATATATATATATATATATATATATATATATATATATATATTATTGTTTCGGCCTATATTAAATAGTTGAATGAGTGCTACATTAAATTAGGCAAAACCTTCTTGACCTTGTATCCAGTCCCCAGCCATCTACTTAAAGTGGGGAGGTTGAGATTCCTCTACGTATTCTAAGCACCTGGGATCAACTCCATAAAGCTGGATTCATGTATCTGAAAGAGGGACATTCATCCTCTTTGTTTTGCAATGACCCGCTATTTATCCCATGCATGAGCCACATATTATCTGCTTCTACACATTAATCCTCTTTCATGTTTCTCACTGTTCTGCCTACATCCTTAATGTGCTCGTTTATCTTTCAATTCATATGAATTTCTCATCACACTTGCCCGGATAACATTTTCCTCATTACACAATATATCCATATGGTTTTCACAGCTAATATTATTATCGTTATTATTGACGCTATTAATCCAATGCGAAATTTTTTAAGCATATAGATTATAAATCAACACAGCTAAATTTTCAACCCCTTTCTTGAGTGACTTAATTTGAATCAACATTCTAACGACCGAATCATCTCATTGTAAACCCTCTTCGACAATACAAACCAACAAAAGTGAACATGTTAATTGGTTTGAAATTAGTTGAGAAGTACGTGTCCTTCTCTTCATGCCAGTTGGCATTCATCAGTAAGGTGTACCTGCAATCTTTAGTGAACCTATGCTGTCTGTGGTATTTATGTCAACTAGCACGAAACCTAGACCCATGGTTTCCTGCCAACTATTCTCAATCGCCAACATTTCAAAACAGTATATATGCGATATCTAAGCATGTGGACTAGATGGCGAATCACCGCTTAATCAAAGGAATTCAGTCATCAGTTAAGAACACGAGTAACATGACATTAGTCACTACACACTGATCAACCAATTGTAAAATTGAACATATTGGTATTACAGGTGACTGTACTTGACTCCCATAGCTGTTCTTTTGGCTAAAATTGTTTCCCTTTTCAAAAAAGATCATTTCAATCTTATCCACTTGATCCTCAAGTGTTTCTAAATCTTCGATTATCATTTGTTGCCATTATTATAATTATTTTGTGGTGTGTTCTAAAGAAAGTGCGTTCGACAGATATTGTATTACTAGCCGGAGACTTGAATCCTCAGGTCGGGCGTCTAGGCACAGAAGAGAGTCGTTTAGGTGGCCAATGGAGACTTGTTGGTCGCAGTACAGATAACGGGAACAGTCTATTGCAAGTGTGCACAGACCACAACCTGTTTCTGGCTAGCACTAACTTTCGGCACAGTCATCGCCGATGTGCCACCTGGCGTCCTCCCTCTGCATCTCAAGCCTGGACTCAAATTGATCACATCACGATCAGCTACCGCTGGGGTGGTTGTGTACAAGACTGCTGCTCCTTTTGGAGTACCTATCTGGTCTCTGAGCATGCCCTGGTCTGCGCCAATCTTACCTTACTTTTCAGTGGCCAACAAATTCATGGTCCTAAACGTATTGATGTCAGTAAATTGGTTACAACTTCTGTTGCAACTAAGAATCAAAACGAGCCAGCTTCTAGACTAGCTAGCATCCCACCGAAAAATATAGGTGAGCATTGGTTACAACTTCATGACGCCATGAAAATGGTGATCAAAGCCTCTCGCGGCTTCGCGAAACCTCCCTCTTATAAGCACTGGGTTTCTTCTGGCTTCTGATAAATCATTGAATCTAAGATCGTCGGTTTGCTCCGGGTGACCTTGAGTTTGACCACAAACGACGATTATTACGTCATGAATTTGGGAAAAGCTTGCGTAAGGACCGAGAAGCCTGGTGGTCGGAGTGTGCCAATGAGTTGGAAGCAGCAACTGCATCTGGTAACTACCGGAAGCTCTTCCAACTCATCTGAGCCACTGGCAGCAAGAAGTCTGGTGTGAGTGAAACAATCTGTGAGGATGACGGGGTGCAAATCACCAACATCTGTCGATGTCTTGGACGATGGGCAGAGTTTTTTGAGGGACAGTTCAGCTAGTCTGCTGCCCCGGCAACATCGGTCAGACTGTCCTGCCCTCCATGGTCGATGACGACTGGTCCACCAAATGAGGCGGAAGTCCGCAAGGGACTCCAACTCTTGAAGTGCTACAAATCACCAGATCCAGATGACTTACCTCCGGCCATTTTTAAAGATAGTGACAGTCTTCTGGTTAAAGGAACTGACTGTGTTGTTTACAAAGATTTGGGAGCTAGAGAGTGTTCTAACATCATGGAATGAGTCGATAATCGTCCCTATCTTTAAAAGGCGACCACGTCACCTATATTAGAACTATCAGAGGATGAGTGTACTTCTTATTGCGTCCAAACTATTGGCTTCCTTCATACTTCGTAGATTCTTCGAAACCCGGAAAAGAATGAATCGTGAGGAATAGGCTGATTTTCCTTTTGATTCGAGGATGTATTAATTATATCTTCACCCTTCGCCAAATGTTGGAACACTGTTATACTTATCACAAACCAACAGTCTTAGCTTTTCTTGAAATCGTGATTGCCTTCGATTCCAGTGGCAACACCATGTTAGTAATGCAGAGGTTCTGCATCGTATGATCGGTCACAGAGACGATAATTCAATTGGTGTCACCATCTTGCAACATCTACTTCGGTGGCTTGGACATGTTCTACGAATGTCATCTCAGAAAATTCCACGTCGTGCATTGTTTGCCGATTCTGGGACTGGTTGTAGAAAAGGGAAATGTGGTCAGTGTATGACATGGTGTTGTGGTATGAAAGCTGCAAAGGGCTGGCTTCTGTTGGTCCTCCACGACTCCCTGGTTGGGGTCCGAGAGATAGTGCGACACAGTGGTTAGAGACGTTATCAGAAATGGCTCAGAATACAAGCCATTGATGATCCTCCTTGAACCTTATTTTGCTTTCTTCGTAAAAAGACGTAACTTCTCTCAGTGCAAGAATTATCTGAGGCTGTACTTTGCTAATTAAACTGCCCCTCCCATTATTGTTATTTCACTAATTTCTGTCCATTGTTTTACTTCTTTTTTCTTATACGCACTCATTCTCATTTTTATTGTGTGGCGCATATATATCTGGTTCCCCTTTGTACCAATATTTGTGTGTTCAAATAAAATAAAAAATATGGTGTGTGTTACTTACGCGGACGAATGTTAGCATTATGTGTCAGTCAGACACAATGTATAACCTGTATGCATGTACATCGGTTCAAGTTGCCAAGCCCCATTAACACAGCGAGATGAGTTTGTCAGGCAAGATCCCAGAATAGTAGATGCAGTATCAATATCAATAGTAATAGGAAAGATTAAGGTCAAACATAAGACTCGCAAAGAAAATATAATTCAGTGAAATAACGAACAGGTTATGGGGAATTTGGAATCCTAGGATTTGGAAGAAGACAAAGAACGGATGCACCTGCGCAATCGTAAACTATGTTGAACCACGCCAAAGTCTCTAGCCATCGGTTATGATATTTATGCGGATCCCGACCAGGCAGTCTACACCTATTAGCATGGCTCAGCCCAATTCCCAATGACGTCATAGACTGATGAGACGTTTTGGTTTGACCACCCTTAGCTTTATTTCAGTCTGCTACACCAGAAAACATCTCCCATCGAAGTAGGTGGTGATTAGGCATACGTCACACATATCCAAACTGCCTCATTTGGTGAAAATTTAATACCTCATCAATCGATTTCCCATATTTACCTAGTGCTCCATTCCTAAATCAGGCATTACTTACTCCGCGGTCCTAAAATGCACGAGCAACGCTTCGTAGACTCTAAAAGCGTGTCTATAACAAAGTCAAATAAAAAAGGAGAAAGCGGACAACCTTGACGAATACCACTTGAAGTGACAAATTCCGAAAACAGTTCTTCATAAGCTGTGACTTGACCAGAATTTTATAATCAGATAGCCTGTACAAGGTTGATGTACTTCTTTGGGACCCCTATCAATGACAAACACTGCCAGGAGACTTTACGATCAACAGAGTCGAACTCAGCCCTAAGGTCAAGGACTACAATAATTGTAGGACTTCCAAAAGTATGTCTATGTTTCAGGATCTGTTGAAGGGTGAATATTTGGTCTACACATTCACAACCAGATCTAAAACCAACCTAGTTTTCCCTAATTTTCTCTTCACGAGCTCTAATTAAACTTCGTAGTATTATTGAAGCTAACATTTTAGACATTATATTCGTTAAACTGGTTCCTCTGTGATTTCCACAATGGGAATTTTGTCCTCATAAACTAGGAGGATCTGCGATCGTGACAGGTCAGATGGGACTACATCCAGTTCCTAGATTTTAACTAAGACTCAGTTAACCTAACTGCCAAAACTGGACCATCAACCTGAAAAATCTCAGGGGTTAGTACATCAGTCCCTTCTGCTCCCCCTCTCTTTAGATTGCTTATAGCATTGTCAGTCAGGTTACTTGGAGATAATGAGTAACTGAAGTGTGACTGAAAGCCTGTTGAACTGTTACCCAAAGTGTTCTGCCCATCGGTTCAGTCTCCTGGATTGAAAGTGAATAATGGCCTCATCTTTCTCGAAGATAGTTTCATTAACAGCTGAATTTTTAATACCCGTTTCTTTGATAAATCTGAAGAGTTGTCTACTGTTACCTATCAGTGCTGTCTTTCCCATCGCTTCTGTTTTCGCTTCAATCACTGCTCACAATCACTACATACTCCTCATCGTGTTCAGAGCCAGATGGGATGAGTTTCCGAGCATCTATCAATTCTGTAGATATCACTGAAATCCACTAGTTTTTCCTAAACTTTTGGCTTAATTTACTAGTAGATATCACTGCTGTTCCCGTACCTTTTTAAACAGATCAAGCCACCTCAGAGTGGATATCATTTTCGTGGTTGATTAACTCTTCTAGTTGTCCCTAAAATACGTTCTTAAATTTTTCATCATTAAGTTGGAACCGAAGAGGTTTTATTGCTGTGGCTTTTCTACGTCCGGTAAGGCGCAGACAAATACATACACGATCCGAGTCTAAATATGTGCTCCAGAATGAGCGACAGTCTTCAATCGAACCCCTCGGACGATGACTTGTAGTAACGTGGTCTATTTCAGTTTGTCGATCAGTTAATTGTGGAGGTCTCCACCCCAGACGATATTTTTCCTTATATTTCAAGTTGGTGTTTGCCAGGAATAGATACCTATTTAAACATAACTGCAACAGACGGTCGCCATTATCTGTTCACTGAACCACAATAGAAGCAGTCCTAGTGGCAACTGGATTGAAATAACGATGGTGTTTCTAAGAGACAACGGTATATTTAATGTATTGATTTCATATTTTACAAATGTAGGGGTATGATTTTGCATAATATAACAAATTGGTTTACTCTAACCAAAGTTTCGTTCATTACAATTTAACTGTCGTAAGCACTTTTCTCCAAATTATTACTTATTTTCGCTACAATGATTAATTAAATTTTTCTTTAACGCTCTCTTCACCAGATATTAACTGATTCTAAAAGACGTTGTAAAAATGCCATGGATCCATTGAATGTTTGCTCATCGTTATTTCCAATTAATACAAATTCTATTAATTGTAATGAAAATAACCCATTAACTGCTACCACTACTACTAATATCACAGCGACAGCACCAACAACATCATCTTCGTTACTGTCTCATTCTTCTGTATCTATGGAAATATGTGATCTTATTGAAAATCTATTAAATAATCTTCTAGGTGGTGTCGATAACTGTGGTGGTGGTCAATCAGACTTAAAACATAAATTGAATGATTTATTGACAATATTTCAAAAACTTCAGTTGGATAATAAAGAATTTACTTGTTTGAAATTTATTGTTTTGTTTAATCCTTTAAAACATGGTAAGTGTGTTTTTATTCCAAGATTTTTTTCTGATTAATTATTCTTTCTCTCTTGTTTGATAATGAAGCATCCGCTGATGACCAACTCTACTAATTCGATTTGATTAGTTAAGTAGTATCAATAGCATAGCTCGTTGTTTTTCATAATCTCCAAAGCTCACTACCTAGTGTTATTTTCAATTATAGTCTCGGTAGATTTTTCAATTTCATGACTGAATGTCATTTCATTTATAATGATAATGATCATTGAGTTTTGATAAGTTTCAAGCTGATTGACAGAAAGCAGCTACAATTTGTTCGATTAAATAAACATTACCTAGAAAGTTAAATACTGATATTTCAATTAATGTAGTTAGAATAACGTATTAATGATTCACTACTGAATAAGTGAAATAGCCCATTATCAATTTTAGCGCAGTTTAATAAATGTTCAGTGTATCTAGAATAATAACAATCTTGCAACTGTTAACGGTGTGACTTTATAACACTTGAAATAGTTTAATGATGTCATAAAATAGTTTATCCGAGTATTTCTAATGAGTAATAGTTAAAAATAACTTTTATCGGTAGTGGTATCTGACTTCGCGAATGTTCCCACTACATATAATCACTAGAAAGTGAATGATTTTGTTAATGATTTCGCTGAGTTGACTGTTTAATTCGATTCACTTAATTGGTACATTTTGTTATTTTAAAATGGCTAAAACTACTCAAAGCTTCTTTAATACACGTACATTACAACGTTTGACATTTATTTCTCGTGTCTTGAATCAATAGCTCAGTTCGGAACCATTATATCCCGATTCCGTTTTGACGTAAAATCACAGGTAGTCTGTTTACCTGTTTCCCTATAATCTTTATTAGACTGACTACTTGATATCATCTTGAGTTTTATGCAGAGATTTCAGTTTCTGTTCTTCGATTTATGATACTTGTACTGATCTATTGTTCAAATACTCGGACTATTCATCAACTTTAAACATACAACTTCATATATTTCTCCTGTAAAATTGCTTAATTCATTTATTGCATTTCTTTTGAATCACCTTTATTATCTTAAATTTGAGCAAATGTTAAATATCCTTTTAGTGTTCTTAACTAGAATATATTAATAATACTTAAAGCTAGTTCATGTTTTTTTTGTTTTATGTTCGTCCAATCAGCTCATGAATAGTCCGTACCCTATATAAGTTTTTTTTTCTTCAAAGCCCCATCATTTTGTAGCAGTCTAGTATCCTTGTCATATAAATATTTTCAGAAGGGGTTTGTGGAGATTTTTTAGAAATTTTCACAGATTGAAATCATGAGTCTAGCTTCAACTGACTCATGATTTCAATCTGTGAAAGTTTCTAAAAAATCTCCACAAACCCCTTCTGATAATAATCATCTGCTCACTAGTGACTGACTTCAAGAGATACTCCTGGAGTTCTAGTGGGAAGCCGTTACCAGTGGAGTACAACCAGGTCTGTTGTGAGATATCAGCTCACTGAAGACAATGGTATATGGTGGCGCAACTTCGTGGATTGGTTGAAGTTAGACATTAGCACCGTTGGATGCCGGCTCAGTGGTCTAATGGTTAAGTGCTCGCGCGCAAAGCCAGTAGGTCCTGGGTTCGAGCCCCGCGTGGTGCGCACCGCTGAGGAGTCCCATACTAGGACGAAACGGCTGTCCAGTGCTTCCAGGTTTTCAATGGTGGTCTAGCTTCAACTGACTCATGATTTCAATCTGTGAAAATATAAATATTTGATAAATATATGTAGAATATCTAGTCTGATTTGAAGTTACTTTTTTTCACTAACATAAGCTTCTTTAATATCCACGCGCTAATAATAATAATAATAATAATAATAATATAATAATAATAATAATAATAATAATGTGTGTATATGTGTGTGCACTGTCGAATAAAGTAAAAACAAATGACCTTAGGAATATCTTACCGATAGTTTAGCAAGTTGACCTTAAAACAGTTGAGAATAGGGCTAAAGTAATTTGCTATGATTGTTATTATTTACTATCTTGTTTATTATCATTACTTTTTTTTGAAAACTAAATTAGAGTACAATACGATTGTGGCTGTTTGTCTTTCTTTTCTTGTTGTCAGTGTTATTTAAGTCGAACAATAATAGTTTCGTCTTACTTTTAAGTAAAACTTATCCAATTTAAGAAAACCGAAAAAGGCCAATCCAACACCCTCATCCCATTAATGAATTAGTTCTTAAGATACATTATAACCTACTACAATTAGAACGATGGATGCACACTAAGGTAGCATGAGCTTGGTTTATTTATTGGTACTTTTTTCTCTGGAAAACATCCATTCGAAACCTCACCAAATAAGGGGACTTTCTCGAATTTTTAAATAGTCGACTTTTCTTCAGGATTTCTACTCTGATTATCCCCTTTAGACTCACTGTTAATAAATAAAATCTTCCGTACTGTATGAGCACTTTCTGTTCAGCTTTTCAGTTTCGGAAAAATATATCAGAGAAAATCATTTTCTGTAAGTATTCGTCTAATTATATTCAACTCATTGTCAGTTGTGCTCTCTGTGGATATTCGTCTAGCCCTCAAAGATACATGATTATGGAAGCTTGTTAAATTGTTCTTTCCGGTTTAGCCTCTTGCTTATTGATCTTTTTAAAGAACCATCTAGTCTTCAATTCAAAAGACTATCGAGGAAATGAAATTATGAGTTTTACTTCCAATTCTAGTGTGAACTTAATCGACAAGGTACAATTATTTAATACTTGTAAGATAGTATTGAGATTACTATTATTATTCAATAATGTTTTTATATTTGTGATAAGCACATAGAAAACATGTTATCTCTCTTATTATTTTTTTCAGATACCTCTCTAACATCAAACTTAAGTTATGCCTTGAAAATTCAGGGAAAATTTTGTCATTTCTTATTGAAACGTTCACGAAGATTTCTATGTTTAATAAATGAATCCAGTAAATCTCAAAAACTAGATCATGAATCACCAAATGAATTGAATACTCTTCTTTTACCAGATAGATATGGTCAAATTTTGTTAGAATTAGCAGAAGTTAAATTTCTTGCTTTCCAGTTAGAAAGTTTTTTACTAATGCGATATAGACTTGGTAAAATACCAAATGAAAGTTTATTAAGTGAAATGTTGTTAACAAAACGTAGTCGAGTATCACTTCCTGTACAACCATCTTATTGTAATCTGATGACATCATCAATGAAATCACCACCATCAATAACATCATCTTATGTAATACCAACATGTCAGTTTGCATATACCAATGTTAACTCAAAAGTCATTCCCATACCATCATTATCTACGGATGCTGATTGTCGATCAAATGATGAAGTGATAAAACATAATCAAGCTTCTTCATTATGTACAAATAATCTGAATAATGGTACTACAATGATGGTAAATGCTACAGGAAGCTTATCTACTACACCATTTACTTCTCCTATTCCTTCAACTTTCCCACTTACTTCTCTTCATTCGCCCACTTCTATTCCTCAATTCAGCAATAGAAATAACAATTGTAATAATAATGACGCATCGTTATTGAAAAACATTGATTCACAGTTGTCTTGTACAGCATTTCTCAATTCTTATACTAATTCTCCGTTATATACTCCAACTACTACAAATCAACTGGTTTATAATCATTGTTTTATTAACATTGATGACCATGTTATTACTGCAAATAATATTAACAGATTTAATGAACAACTACACGAGTCCTCATCAACAGTGACAACAATGCCGGCGACAACAACAACACTCGTAAATCATGCCTCAATATTATCATGAAAAGCATTTATTCCTTTTTTCTACTTCTCCTTGCTCGTCTATTTGTTGCTTTATTTATAATCTTATATTCTTGTCTATTTGGGAAGGGAAAGAAAACTACAAGTAAGGCAGGAAGGACTGTTATCCTCTTTCCATCTGACATCATGCTAACAATAGAATTGTTTGCTTAGTACAATTAGTCCATTAGGTGGTAATTCTAATTGTAGTGTTTGTCAACATTTCAGTTACGTACCAATTAAACAAAAGTTGAAATATTTTAACTGAGTAAAATAAACAGTTTTCAATGATTTTCTTTAATACATGACCTTTTACTCTCATGTCGTGAGGTGAACAAAGTGAAGAAATGTGTGTGTGTGTGAAATGAAGGGAAAAATAGATAGTCGGACAAACAAAATATTAACAAGACTTGAATTTCTATTCTTCTCACCTATTATTAACATTATTACTACCAGAAACCTATTGCATAATACCGACAAAATTCTGAGGTAGATTTGATCAAGTGAGAACATTTTCCATATGTATGGAAAGGTTATTATTGTTCCTGTCACCGTTATTGTTGCATTTAGAATCATATCATGCGTGTGTATGCGATTTCTCCCTAATTTTGTGCTACTCTCATTTCATTTTAGTCTTCTAATTTTCGTTTAATATATCGTATGTTGTGTTTATATTCATTCAAGTGTTAATAGTGTATATGTGTTGATATTGATCTAATATATATATTTTGGTACTCATCTTTTGTCATCATCACCATCATTGTTGTTGTTGTTATCTCACTGAGACAAAAAAAAATCGCTTCAGTTCCTCCCCCAACATTATCTTTCCAACTTCCCTACTCGTCTACCTATTATTTCCATCTTTTTTCACTCTTCTTTTATATGAGAAACTGTACAAGACAATCATTATCAACCATCAGGATTTTTGTTTTATTCATCGAGGAAACCAAACATTTTCATAATACTTTTGTCAAGTGTTATCTTGTCTGTAGTCGATTAAAGAAATAAATCAACTTGTAGGATGTAGTGAATAGTGTTTTTTGTGAAGAGTTTCATTAGTAGTTTTTTTCAATTATACTATTTTGATTATGTACAGAGGTATTTCATCTTTATTTTCTTTTGATCTGTCTACAATTAATTTTTAAATAGATGAATATAATAATTGTATGTCTATGATATATTGCCTTTATCACTTTCCTACCGGCTGCCAATCTCACGTCATTTCTACTTTTCTTCCGTTAATCTACCTCGAATATTTATATATTCTAATGTAATTATACCGTTAGTATGTAGATATTTTTTAGCTGTACTCCTTTTTTTATAAACATATATATTAGTTATAGAAAATTTACCAAGAAATGCTCATTTTCCGGCTAGCACCAACTATCATCAGTCTTTTCTGTAGACAGATCGTCGCTCAATTTCTCTTATTTATAAATTGTATTTAGCCAGTTAATCAATCTAGGACAGGATTTTTCTCCTCTTTATCCCAATGTCTTCTCTTCTGTTTTTGTGTGTTTAAGATATTTTGCTTTTTTCACATACCTCTACACAGCGTACACTATGTGTAAATATATTGCGTAGTTTTGTGTACAAATTATTTTCCTTGTTTGTGCGTGTATATCTTGGGTGCATTTTTTGAGACAGGCTAATAAGTATATATATATATATAATAGATAGATAGATATACACGCACAAACAAGGAAAATAATTTGTACACAAAACTACGCAATATATTTACACATAGTGTACGCTGTGTAGAGGTATGTGAAAAAAGCAAAATATCTTAAACACACAAAAACAGAAGAGAAGACATTGGGATAAAGAGGAGAAAAATCCTGTCCTAGATTGATTAACTGGCTAAATACAATTTATAAATAAGAGAAATTGAGCGACGATCTGTCTACAGAAAAGACTGATGATAGTTGGTGCTAGCCGGAAAATGAGCATTTCTTGGTAAATTTTCTATAACTAATATATATGTTTATAAAAAAAGGAGTACAGCTAAAAAATATCTACATACTAACGGTATAATTACATTAGAATATATAAATATTCGAGGTAGATTAACGGAAGAAAAGTAGAAATGACGTGAGATTGGCAGCCGGTAGGAAAGTGATAAAGGCAATATATCATAGACATACAATTATTATATTCATCTATTTAAAAATTAATTGTAGACAGATCAAAAGAAAATAAAGATGAAATACCTCTGTACATAATCAAAATAGTATAATTGAAAAAAACTACTAATGAAACTCTTCACAAAAAACACTATTCACTACATCCTACAAGTTGATTTATTTCTTTAATCGACTACAGACAAGATAACACTTGACAAAAGTATTATGAAAATGTTTGGTTTCCTCGATGAATAAAACAAAAATCCTGATGGTTGATAATGATTGTCTTGTACAGTTTCTCATATAAAAGAAGAGTGAAAAAAGATGGAAATAATAGGTAGACGAGTAGGGAAGTTGGAAAGATAATGTTGGGGGAGGAACTGAAGCGATTTTTTTTTGTCTCAGTGAGATAACAACAACAACAATGATGGTGATGATGACAAAAGATGAGTACCAAAATATATATATTAGATCAATATCAACACATATACACTATTAACACTTGAATGAATATAAACACAACATACGATATATTAAACGAAAATTAGAAGACTAAAATGAAATGAGAGTAGCACAAAATTAGGGAGAAATCGCATACACACGCATGATATGATTCTAAATGCAACAATAACGGTGACAGGAACAATAATAACCTTTCCATACATATGGAAAATGTTCTCACTTGATCAAATCTACCTCAGAATTTTGTCGGTATTATGCAATAGGTTTCTGGTAGTAATAATGTTAATAATAGGTGAGAAGAATAGAAATTCAAGTCTTGTTAATATTTTGTTTGTCCGACTATCTATTTTTCCCTTCATTTCACACACACACACATTTCTTCACTTTGTTCACCTCACGACATGAGAGTAAAAGGTCATGTATTAAAGAAAATCATTGAAAACTGTTTATTTTACTCAGTTAAAATATTTCAACTTTTGTTTAATTGGTACGTAACTGAAATGTTGACAAACACTACAATTAGAATTACCACCTAATGGACTAATTGTACTAAGCAAACAATTCTATTGTTTCTTTTTCTTATATTTCCCATTCTTATAAATTTATTGAATCTGGATTGCATTGTTTCTTTAGTAGTCCAATTGCTCTTACCTCCTCCTTCAACTCTCCTTTGTGTACTTATACTTTTTCCCTCATTGTTTATTAGGTAAAAGTGTGCGTTAACATTGGACTGAAGTGACCACGCCTCTTGTTTTATTCCTCCTTCTTTATCTTTCTTGTCATCTGTTTCTCTCATCTTTAACATATATATACTTTTTGTTCAGGCAGCTATACACTTATCTATCTATTGTTAAAAAAGAATTCGACTTTTATAATAGCGATGGTGATTATCATACTCATGTTAAGATAATCTGAGGTAGGCAAGTTAACTCTTCATTTTATCTTTCATATTGTAACTCTTTCCCGCATTCCCTTTCTTTTGTTGCGGTGGTTGCCACATTCTCTTTTCCTGTTCAACCCCCTCTCAGTGTTGCTTGTTTGTGTTATTTAATATTTCTTTTTACTGTTATCATAGCTATCACTACTACTAGTATTATTATCATTATAAATGACTGAAAAAAAACGAAAAAATAAAATGAATTTTGTAAATAAATTTATCGCTTTGATTTCTTGAAGAAAGTACTGAACTCCCTGATATGTACATAGTTTTATGCATGTTTTTGTTTGTGTAAGTGATCATTCTTCCAAAAGAATCCATGATTAAAATTACTGAAACATTTGATTTGACTGAGGTAGTAAATTTCTTTGGGGTTGTTATTTCCACCAGTAACCAACTAATTGAATATATGCTAATTAATTCAAATTCTTAGTTATGCAAACTATATAATCAACAATTTCAGGTCGGTGATTATCTGAACTCTGTAGCTAAGTAAAGAATGCGTCGAAGTTTTGGGGCAAATGGTACTTGGTCTGAGTTCAGTTATCAGAATGATTGTAGATACATCTAACTGACGAATTCCACTTGAAACGAAACCCGCGACCTGGATTTCGTTACTAACCACTATCAGAACTATTCAACCAGTATATTACAATTCGTTGCACGTAAAAGCGATTAGTCAGTGACTTTTTACTTCTGCTCATCATAGATTTTTGTATTGTCAGAGCATCCGTTGATCATGATTGCGATATTTGGTTTGAGGCTATAGTTCAAAAACTTCACATGGAACATATGAAGATCTTGTTTTGCATAATGCACAACTTTATGGCCACATGCATACAACTACTGCCAGGGAAGTCCTACTCACTACCTTCTCGCAACGAGGGTGTTGTTTTCGAAATTAAGAGGACAAAAAGCGAATGTCCGGCGCTTTAACCGGGTTGTTGGGTATGGAAGATCCACCTAAGGGAGTTGGAAAACCCTGATTCCAAACTAATGGTGTGCACGGGCTCCAGGATCCTAAGGAAACATGACGTATGAACCTCGTGTTGGTCATCGGCTACCATGGGACTACATCTGACGTTGCTCCAATACTTTGTGGATCAGACCTTTAGGTCGAAGGGTCCGAGTGTGGCCCCCTAAGAAAACCACCTGCTTCGATCTGGGGACCCGGACAATATTGCAGCCCACACACAAATCAAGTGACTTCTGTGGCGCATATGTATTCGGTGCCCCTTTGTTTATGTGTTTAAATAAACAAATGATAAATGATCTCAAAAGGAATGTAATTATTGAAGATCATTAATGCTCAGGTACATAGATCTATAACTGACCCTGTGAAAATTTGTGTACATCTACGAATTAGGTCACAGATGTCTTTTAAGTTTTATTCGCATAATTTCGGACCACTTGGAGTTGAACTCAACTTACTAACCAAAAACGGTAAGGTGGTTAGTAATGTTGTGAATCTTTGTCGATGAAGGTGATTAGAATTTATATTGCTTACACCTGACCACTGCCTACCTCTACGCGTGATATTTAATGGTCTAGGAGTAAATTGGAAGAAAGTTAAGCGCTCTCAAAACATGATATATTATAGTTCATGAAGTCATTGACTTTTGAGTTGAACTATGCTGCTAGATGAGGGCTATGTGGTTATGGTTCATTTATTTATCGTAAACTTCAAATGTTTGGTGACTTTTAAGCATCAGTGATGCAGATATATTCACTCTTGCTTGATCTTCCCTTAGATTCTGAGTTCTAGGATTATGTTATACGTTTTATTCCACAAACCAATTCTTTTTCAAGTTATATACTCTAATTCTAATACTTTTGGATTATCACTTATACTACAACCACTTCGGTATTCACCTCCATAATGTGATTCCGTTGTGGTAGTTTCCATCCATGCCAGGCTTTATGTTTATTATGACTGACTGATCATCCGATTTATTTAGTTAAACACATAAACATTGGTACAAGGAGGCTTCAAATATATATGCGCCACACTTCATTCGATTTTTGTAAGGAATGTGATATTGCTTTTTTGTCATGTCTACTGTGAGCAATTACTTAGAAACGAAGTTGACTGAATACGTAGAACATATTAAAAATCTCATGAATTTTCAAAACTTAAAGTATATTGGACTGGTTCGATAATATCTTTTTGTTCGTCTCTAAATGCATATTTGTTACTCTAACTTCTCTCTTCTTATCATCACTACTATATATTCGTTTTCTATCGAAATTAATCATCTGAGGCCTAAATAAATAGTCTTGTTGTGTTTAATCTGCATGTCATGAGGTAATGACGTCATTCACGTTTATAATGTGAGTCTGACTTCATTCTTTGATCCACATTAGATTAATCGGCTACGTTAGAAAGATACCTATTATTGACACTACTAACAACTGAATCATTAATTTTAAAACCTAGATTGAATACATAATCTTCATAAAGTAGTTCATAATAACCCACTTGTATTCATACTGGTTGTGATATTTGTACTATCTTACTAATCTGTACAGCTTTATGAAATGTACCCTGATCAAGTGATACTGTCTTGATTCTCCTTTTTGTTCGTATGATTACTATCAATATTTAGGACACTAAAATCGATTGTTTCATATCGGTCGTTTTTTTAGAAATTCTCAACATAAAAATAAAGTGCTGCTCCGTAAATATTAAGTTTTTAGTATATTAGTCATACTGTTAACTCTTTCAAAAAACTTGAGTAATAAAAATCAATCAGGACATTAGCTACTCCCTAATTATCGGCCCGGACAATCATAAACAAATTAGGACCTGGTACAAATGTCCATTTTTTCAAGTTTCCACAACAGCAGCGTAGTGATATGAAATTGATAAAATGACTTCCAAAGTTGTGGTAGTAGTAGTAGTAGTATAAGCGATTGTACAGAAAATATTAAAATGAGAGGATGTGATCCTATAAAATGATACTGAGTTTTCATCTGAGGGTAGACAAAGGAAAATTATGTCTGCACCCCTCCAACCTATTATATTACACATCTCCAACTATTGTTCACTGTTATCGGTTTGCATAAATAATATTAACATTGGCTACTGAAAACTGCTATGTCGACTCACTTAATCTGATAAAATATTGGTTATGATTGACAAGATCGAACTGATAACTTTACTCATGGTATTTATCGTTAAATATCGAGCAAATAGATTTTAAAAGATAGAAGTACTAGATGACTTAAAAAGTGTGTGGTTATATATGTTAAGGAATCAAGACCATTATTTATTTGTACGAAACATTTAACTCAAGTATTATGCATGTTAGTTACTTCGTATGAAATGTGTTCAATGCACTGATTGCTCTATCGTATAAAACTATCTCTAATTCACCTGTCTAACTATCAAGTAAACTGAGATCTGTCCAAAAGCTATTGTTATTTAGATTTGTAACTTTACATTACGAACTGAATTTAGTGAGGTAACAATTGAAAATAAGAGGCGCTGGGTAGATGTTTCACCCGAGCATAGGACTCATTAGTAGTGCACATCCATAGCTCTAGCAGGGATCGGACCCAGGAATTAAAGGTCTCGTGGCGAGACATTAAACTTTCAAACTACTGAGTTGGAATCCAACAGTTTGAGTCTCTAACTCCAGTCAACTAGCGATATTCTGAGATCACTATCCATTACCAATGATGATATTTGTCTCATACTTAATATGATTGAATTCCACTGCTTATTACTACTTTATCGGACTCCAAGAATTGGCTCTCGAAGTTGATCCCTAGTAAGCATAACCAACAATATATTTTGATTGTGGTTTTTCTTCATTATTAGTGACCATTACGATTAGTTAGTTTTCATTTTTCGTTTTATAAATCACAGAAACATGTATAACTGTTCAAATCTGGAAAATTTATTTCAAAATGAAGAAGAACTAAAATCGATTATTATGAAACTAGTTCGTTCTGGTGATATTTCCAAATTAAAAATATTATTTCAATTAGTCAGTGCAAATGATTCTTCTTGTACGAATCAATGGTGTTCAAGTAAACTTGTGGAGATTAAAGATAATAAACAGCGTAATTTAATACATATTGCTTGTAAATATGGGCATAAAGAAATGATTGTGTAAGTTTCATTTGTATTTCCACTTGTTTTTTTCTTTTATCCTTTCCTTCAAGATCAGTTAATTACGTCATTGACTGTTGAACTGATGTATGTTGATATATACACACTACATGGTTAGGTTTGAAATGATAATGCCAATAAATAATTGGAGATGTTGAGTTGCATAGCTTAGATTCATCTACTCTTTACCTTATTTCTTTATGCATACCTTTTCATCCTGTCTTTTCTGACTATAATGTAAATGTACAATCTTTTTCGTTATCATTCCTACTACATTGTTTCGACCCCCCTCACCATTCATTTTGTTTATTTTATCTCGTTGTGCTGATTTGGTATGTTAATTCGAGCCAACGCATATGTGTGCTAGGCTCTGCATTAGTTATGACTGACTAAATGGGAATCCGTACACTCTAAGGAAATCCAGTTGGAATTTAGAAAGTAAATAATTGATGACTTTGAATAAATATCATCCTGTACATTATAAATCGATCGAATTTAAGTATGTGGAGTATTGGATTGCATTTCAGAGGTTTATAAGAGCATAATCTTCAATGAAAAAGCTGAAAGTTTTGGGTTCTTCCCATAGTGAAGTTGCAGATATAAAATGTTGCTGAATAATACGAAAATGAAATAACTCTTCGGAAGTGCTTAATTTTCAATCGTTCGCCTACTGGTATCAGTTATTGATGGAAATTACCATCAGGCCAAAATAAGATCTTTTCTCAGTCGTTTCTGTAAATTATCTTTGTGTACATTAAAATTTAATATTTTTATTTGTTTGTATTCAATTCCTCGTTTATTCCCCTCTCATTTCGGTGTATTTCTTTACACTACTTGTTAATATTCAGTAACCAGTTGTATTTCTAATAATGCCTGAGAATGCTGTAACGTCAATTTGAGTAGTATTTTTCAGTATTTTCATAAATTAGTCCCATTCATTTCATTTATTATTATAATTGCATTTCACTGACTTTTCTAACAGTCACTTTCAGTTTTTTTTCATATTTTTCATATTAAAATCGATTCTGTGTTTTTGTCTTCAGTTTCCGTTCAATTGTTGATAGTCAGTGTTGACTTAAGACACAGCTGTCGGTAACAATATTGTATGTTGTAATTAACTTTTGTGTAATTGTTGCGGGAAGCTCTTTCTATTCCATGGATACGACCGCGTTGTTCGCCACAGATACTTCACAAGTTAATATTTTTAACTAATTTACATGCATTTTGTAGTAATACTGTGTAAAATCCATTAACTTATATGATAATTGTGCTAAAAAC